CGCACTGTACTTTAGCATATCACGCAAGACGATATAACTCTTTATCTATGAATGTGAGACTTAAATAACTTTACAATACTGAAAAATGTCGCACTATCAACTGGAACGCCATGTACAAATGATGCACAAAATACCAACGTTGAACTCGTTTGAAAACCGAGCAATTGCCCGAACTTGTCGATAAAAAAGGCAAATACGCGTTAGAGACACTCAAGGAAACTATGCATACGATTCATAACCAGTACTTACCACATGGAGTGAATTCAATGAGCACGACCTTAGAGGCAAATATATAGATCAAGTGACAGATCAAGTGAGTATCGAAGAAGGCAACAGCAGAATATTTAAGTTTACAAACGAACAAAAGTGAATTCTCTGCTGTGTACAACAATAGCTCTAGAATAAACAAAAACTAATGACATAAAGCACACTATGTCGGATCAGATCCGCATACGCAAAAAAAACAACTTACAAGAAAAGCCTAATCTGGTAAATGAAAGGTCATCTGAGTGAGCACCTTGCCCGCTGTTTACAGCTAAGTTGAGTAAATTTTGGTTTACTGCAAAGACAAGCTATGGGTAGTGCTCTCACTGGGGAAACGATGACTCTAACTGGACTTGATTCACGAATCGGTTAAGCATGACGACAGCATGTTCAGCTACATCTCCATGGAAAACCCCTCAGTACCCATCGATGCAAACACGCCTGCTAATGGCTCGAAATCCGAATTCACCACACTCAATTTCGACACCAGCGATTGTGCCGCACGAGCTGAAAGATACGGAATTCCAGATAGATAAAAACCAAAGAAAAATCCCGATTACGATTTCTGAAGGAGTACCTATCTCTGGATGAGAGCTGTTTGCATTTGCGTCAATTAGAGGTCGATCACTGGCCCACAGTTGTGCTAAATTCTCGTCATCCGCCACTCTATCGCAGGTCTCCAGAATCTGTAATGGTTCGAGGTTATATTACTGTTGGAACAATGATTCGCACTTTCGACCCTTTCTAAAGACGACTGTCAAAAAACTGAAAGCTTTTATTTCTAGATAATGAGTCAAACATTAAATCATAGATGTAGACCAATGAGGAGAGAATTATAGCAATGAAAATCACCTGTACAACGAGATTATCCTCAGTGAACGTTCGCAAAAGTTCCATTAGTGAAACAGGACTGTTTCTGAAATAAAAAAAGAATCGAGAGGAAAGAAAATGAAGGGATAAATCATAATCTCGGGGGGGGGGGGGGGGGGG